GCTGCTGAAGAAACGAAGGCCAACCAAGCGAGAAGTGCTCAGCATAAAAATGTCGGTTTTTGATCCTGCAGATATATGGAGAGAGCAGATAGACTGGGATGTAGAGGTTTCTGATGCAGTGAAGGAATGATGGGGAAAATGGCTGCGAGCGTTACACGACTTGGAGAAAATAAGCATACCGCGTTGTTATGGAGCTAACTTTATGTCATCGTCAGTGGAACTACACGTGTTTGCCGATGCGAGTGATTCAGCGTATACAGCAGTAGCTTACTGGAGATTTGTGGGCGACCATGGCGATACACAATCAATCTTTGTTGCTGGAAAAACCAAATGCGCTCCAATAAAACTTGTGTCTGTCCCTCGTCTCGAGCTGCAATCGGCAGTGCTCGCAACTCGTTTAAGGGCAAGCATTATTGAAAGTCATGACAAGTACCCAATAGTAATGTGGTCTGATTCAAAAACTGTTTTATCTTGGATAAAATCAGATCATCGTCGATACAAGCCTTATGCAACACATCGATTCAACGAAATTTTAGATGGCAGTGACGTCAATGACTGGAGATGGTTGCCCAGTGCATTAAACCCCGCTGATTTTTGGACACGCGTTAGAGACGAGAAGAGGGAATCATTTTGGATAACCGGACCAAAGTTTCTCCAGGATGAGGAGGCAAGTTGACCATCAAGCGTAACCTGCGAAAGTACAAATATTGAGCTACGCAAAAGATTTACTATTTTACTAATTAATGTTAATACTTAATTTTTTAAGAGATTTTCATCATTTATACGGCTGAAGAGGGTAGTCAGTTGGATAATGCGGTTTAGGGAAAACTGCTACACTTTAAAGAATGCACGCGTCTACGGTAACCTAAAAACCGTGGAGCTAAGGCGAGCTGAAACAGTCATCGTTCGGGCGGTACAAATGGTAGCGTTTCCGGATGAGTATCATTCCCTGAGCTCGGGAAAGCAACTTGAAAAGGGGAGCGCGTTGCGGATGCTCTGCCCCGTAATGGATGACGAAGGAGTAATCAGTCTTGGAGAGCGAATAGACGCTGCATCAGCAATTCCATATTATACCAGAAGACCGATAATTCTACCCAAGATTGGTCACCGAACCCAGATTATCATAGACTACTACCACCGTACTTGGAGGCATCAGAACGACTCCACGATAATAGCCGAGATACGACGTAGGTATTGGATACTACACATAAGAGCAGAAGTGCGTCGGGCTACATAAAGGTGTCAGTACTGCATCAAGGAAAGAGCTACTTCACGCCCGCCATTGATGGGTCAGCTGCCAAGCGATCGAATGTCGCCATTTGTTAGGCCTTTCACGTACATTGGGTTGGACTACATGGGACCGTTCACGATTGTCATTGGTGTTGGATCGCCCTTTTTACATGTTTAACTACACGTGCAGTGCATTTGGAAATGGCGAAGAATCTCTCAACCGATACGTGTCTAACTTGCATTAAAAAACTTTATGTGTCGACGTGGCACACCTATTCGTATTCGTTCGGATAATGGAACAAATTTTGTCGGTGCTGACAGGGACTTAAAGCGTCAGTTAAAGGAACAACCAAACAACCAACAAGAAGACTTCGGGAATGGCCACATAGCTGATGCTCTATCGAACATGAATATAGAGTGGGTTTTCAATTGTCCACTCAACCCACACGTAGGAGGTTGCTGGGAGCGTTTGGTGCGCAGCTTTAAAAGAGCGATGGGACACGCAGTACACAGCGAGAATCTTCACGAGCACACCTTATATAGTTTGACGAGCGAGGCCGAAAACATCGTAAATTCCAGACCGTTAACAAATGTTGCACTGGACGAACTGACTAACCAACCACTAACCCCTAATCACTTTCTCCTAGGTACCCCGAATTGTGAACAAACACCACACCCTCAAGAGGAGAAGTTCCGAGTCACCCGCAAACTTTAACGTAAAGTGCAGCAAATGCAGTATCGGTTCTGGAAAAAATGGATCGATGAATATCTTCCTGATATGACACGGCGAACGAAATGGTGTCTACCGGTAAAACCACAGCAGTAGGAGATGGGGTATTAGTATGCGATCGTGGTATGCACCAGTCGAGTTGGCCCATGGGACGAGTAGTGAAGGTCTTCCCAGGTAAAGACAACCAAGTGAGAACCGCGCTGATTCAAACGAAGGCGGGCATCTATAAGCGACCGGGCTGCAACTTAGCCAAACCTGATCTTGGTGAATCTGATCAGATTCACGAAGGCGGGGCTGTTGGCGCAGTGTAGACAGCCTAAGCAATGTAAATTTATCGATTTTTCTTATTTGTGAGCCTTCTTGCCATCACTAAATAATTTGATCGAGGAGAAAGGAAAGGTCATTATTAGGAATGCAAATTTTGAGCAGTAACATCGATAAGTCGATGTTTCGATGCTTCGGAGAAAAGAACATCGAGGCTAAAATACATCGCCAGAGAAACATCGATATATCGATGGTTTCCGATGTTTTGCAATTTGTTAAATTCTAGTTAAATTTAAAGTAATATTGAATACTTTAATAATTATGAATGTATTTTCCTGTATTTTATTATCCTTTCTATACCCTTTCTATTATTAGAATCAAAATGCATACCATCGTAAGTTCGTTCGGGCCTAAGGATCCTAGGCCTGATCTTGTTGAAATTCTAAGGGGTGTTTGGTTCTGTTTTAACGGCTAGGTTATTAGCATTCAAAATGAATCAAACCATTTTATTGAACTTGGGGCCGTTTTTTATGAAAAATGTCGTGGAAAAGCAACAATAATTTACAAAGGTAAGAAGTTATAGCTGCTATTTGGGATATCACATCTACTAATCACAACCGCCGTCACTGAGGAGAAGTGGTGATCTCCGAAATAGCAGCTATAACTTCTACCTTTTGTAAATTTTTGTTGATTTTCAATAACATTGTTCATAAAAAACGGCTGAATATAATTGTTATAAGGTCATAAATAACAAAAAAATTCTGAAGGAATAATAAATTTAAGGTCAGTCAAACACACCGAAAGAAAGTCGGAGAGTCTCCTTAAAGTCGATGTTTAAAACATCGGCAAAACTTCCATCGATGTATCGTCAATTTCGCGATGTTAGTAAATTGTAAACATCGATGGCAAACATCAAAAATTGAACCGATATTATCGATGTTTCAAAAACATCGATGCATCGTTTGCATCTCTCTCATTATAGATTCTGGCAAGGAGTGAAAACATACAAAAGCGCAAGTTCTTAATATATGTGTATTTCTTCTAATCTACCATCTATATGTACATTTTATAAACAGGAAATAAAGCGCCACGTCAAATACTATGTTTATACGTAAGCTATTTGCAAATAAAAATAATTTGCAAATACCTAACTCACTGTTTATTCGATGGTGAAAAATTCTTTTTCAATATTGCCTGATTATAAAAAGGCAATAATATGATCATCGAAAAGGAAAATAAAGTTAAAAATGGCAACGTCTTGATTACAAAAAGGCAATAAGATGACCATCGAAAAAGAAAATTAACCTAAGAATGGCAGCGTCTTGCGCTTATTTGCAAATAGTACCACTAATCAATACTTATTTCCGTGATTTAGTTATTTGCAAATAAAAAATTAACAGCGTTTGTACGGCAAAGTTTACCATTTTGCAATTTGTTATTTGCAAATAATGCGTGCGTATAAACGTAGTAACAGTTATCATAGCACGGAAATTGACAGCTTTTATTTGTTCACCTAGGGTCCGGGATCTATAATCAACATGGTCTATTAAAGATGATAAATTATAACTTCCACTTCGATAAATAATCGAAAAAAAACAAACTAGTGAAGACACAGATTGGAATGAGTGAAACGTGAGTTTTCAAGTAGTGTTCAGCGAAAACTGGTCTTCGTTTGACATATTTTACATGGAGGAAAACACAAGTTTTAGGTCCAAAACCATGTTTTAGATGTTTTCAAAGTTTTTTCGTTGTCGGTCAGAACATGGTATAAGGCCCAATTTCAGATGGTCTACTTAATACCATGTTCTGACCGACAACGAAAACACTTTGAAAACGAGTTTTGGGATTGTGGGATTGATGGCTGTTCACACCGGCTGTTATGCTGTAAACACATAAAGGGCTTGTGGCGTGTGGCTTGCAGCCTGTCAAATTAGAATACACGTAAAGCACATGCGCCGGACACAATCCACAACACCAACTGTTTGGAGGGGAAACTTAACGAAGTTTTATATTTAAGCGGTAAACTAATATACGGACATGCTAACGGCTTAGCATTAATCAAGTTATTTATGTATGTGTGCATCCGATGCACATTTATGCAATTTTACATTAGGGTGGTTCACCCTTTTTTAAATGTTTGGTTTAGCATGGAGGCCTAAACAGCCATCAAATAACAAAAACAAATAACTTAAGGACGAGCATACCGAAAAGTTAAACATTCTAAATATAGAATTATTAACAAAAAACAACAAAACCAACAACCACATGATCAAGTGTGAATAGCAGCGGAATAGCTACGCTTGATTGTACTGGCTTAACAAGTGAAAAAGTGGGAAAAAGCAACGATAATTTACAAGGCGAACTTAGCACAGTGCGTAGTCAACTGGCTGAGTCAGTGGGATCGTCGGTTCGTTTCCTACTGAAAGAAGTCTGATGAGGAAATGTGGTGATTTCCGAAATAGCTATCACTTCTACCA